CAATTCTCAGGAGATTGAAATTCTTTTGTTTTGTCCTCCAAATTGAGTTGCTTTGACGTCACATGCAAGGGGCCTATTGTTGCATATAGATTTCAAAATCACGTTGTTCTCTTGGTAAAGATCTTACGCGACATATCAGTTATTTTGTCATTTTCCTTAGGCACAGACAGTAAACAACTTGCTGGCCATAGAGCTTGTAAATGTCTGGAAGGATTTTACCGACTAGATCGTTTCGGCGAATGCCACTTCTGCAAGACTGGATACATTTGCAGCAACGAATCAGTCGCACTAGCTGCTACGTTTTACTGGAAATGGGACACCGATGAAGACAAGAATGAATACATCAAATTCAAAAAAGAGCTTCAGATCGAAGACACAACGATAAATCCAACCTACTTCAAGTTCAGCAAATCTTTACCCACACCCTATCGCTGTCCTGTCCCGCAAGCCTGTCTCGGAGGGTTAGATTCTCAATGTGCGCCAGGTCATGAAGGTCCACTGTGTGCTGTTTGTGCGAATGGTTACTACAGCATGGTCACAGGCTGTCAGAAATGTCCTTCCATTCCCTGGCTTTGCGGGCAGATCTTTCTTATACTACTTGGAATCATTTTGCTGGTATGTTTTCTCCTAAAAGACAAGAAAAGACAGGGATCTCACGGAAGGACTATCTCTGATGTTACTGTAGCGAGACTTAAAATTGTGCTAGGGTTTTACCAGATTACCTCTCTAATCCTCGACGCTTTCTCCTTCGTAAAATGGCCGAGTAGTTTTTCCATTCTTATCAGGTATATCAAACTGGTTCAGCTAAACCTTTTTCAGATCATACCTTTCCATTGTGTCTCTCATCGCCTCAAGGTAGACTCTTACGTTTCCCTCAGTCTAATGGTCGTGATCAACATTGGAACGGTTATCTTTGTCATGTTTGTTTACTACGTCCTTAAAGCGAAAATCGTAACAAGAAGCGTTCACAGCTTTGAGCAAAGACATGAACAGAGAATTTCATTACGGAAGTTAAAAGAGAGATGCAGTAAAGCCGTGTTTCTGGTGATGTTCATGACATACCCAGCCGTCTCATCAAGCATCTTAAACATGGTACCTCAAGCTTGTGAAGAGGTTTGCATTGCTCAGGAAGACGAGGGCCCTAAGCAATGCAAGTACTATCTTCGAGGGGATTACACTGTCGAGTGCTTCACTCCAAAATACAACAAGTTTCTCTATTTAGTCTATTTATTGGTGCCCTACCCAATCCTACTTCCAATCATCACTATCGTCCTCCTAAAAAAATACTGCAAGAACAAAAACAAGTTCCTACAAGAAAAGTATTTATGGCTGATGAAAGGGCTCAGCTTCCTATACGAGAACTACTCCGACGAGTACTGGTACTGGGAGGCCTTCGAAATGATTCGTAAGTTCTTTCTCACTTCATTTCTCCTGCTCTTAGACCAGAGAAGCCGTACATTTTTGTGCATTTCTTCGATTTCCACTGAACTGTACGCTGTCTTATTTGCTTACACTCAACCAATAGCAGACCGTTTTGAGTACTATCTACAGCTGATTTCCGTCGGTGCTACATCGGTCAATCTCTCAGTTGGTATGCTTCTGAAAATCCCGGATAACGAAATGACGTCATCTACAGCAAGCCACATGGAGATAGATGCGTTAGCAATGACGGTGCTTCTTATAGCCGTCAACGTTGTCGTCTTGTTGGTGGTTTTAGGTAAGTGGTAATTGTTTTAGCATAAACCTACTATCTAATCATTGTAGTTTCAAAAACAAGGCATGACACTGAAAACTTAACTGAACAAAACGACGGTCAACTGGCGGCATTGTTTTCATTCATCTTTGCGAACTTGACTCGAAGTCTTATAAATTCGGTATTTTTCTTAAACTTGCTCTATTTCTATAGCTTTTTGTCTCTATTATTACGGTCAAAACTCTCTTTCCAATATTTTTCACTTTTTTATCTGTTCTTGGGAACTTTTCTAATTGAATGAGTGATAAACTAAACTCAAACGGATTTATTTCACAAATGTACTTTGTTGTTAGATCATTGAAAGCCGTGCCATGTTCACAATTCGCTTAAGCTTCTTATCAGTTAATTTTCACTTTCTTTAGTGTTTTGTCTGTTCTTACCGTTTAAAGTTCTTCTTGAATACCGATGAGAATAAGTTGTCTTCTCATTCTAAATGTTCTTTGACGAAATCCTTTTAGAATGGCATCGTTATCTTGTAGTCAGTTGTTCGTTTGTTGTAAGTTTACACATGAAAATCGCAGTGAAATCCGACGGCCGCTTTTTCAAGTTAAAAATTCCATATTCTTCAGTTTTTTATTTATCTCTATTTATCTCTTTCTACCGTCCAAAACCTCCATTCCTTTCCTATACAGTCTGTTTTTTCTACAATCGATTTTTAAAGAATTTTTAGAAAACAAGCAGAGATTCCAGCGAAACTTGACAATGCACTTGTTTGTTTTTCGCTACTCACCATCTATCACAGGATAGACAGTGAGTTCCTTAGCCAATCAGGTTGCAGAATTCGTGATAGTATGCGAGTAGGTTTATGCTAAAGTAATATAGATTTTTTTTCCGATGTGCATGTATCCGTCATACTGACATCCATCAACAGTTCCATTTTTTATGTGTTTATTTGTTTGTTCGTGAATTTGGTGGTTGGTCGTTCGGTCGTTCGGTCGGTCGGTCGGTTGGTGTATTGTTTGGATACTTTTTTCGTTAGTTTGTTGAATAGTTTGTTAGTGAGTGGTTTGATTATAATGTCCGTAATAATATTTTTAAAAGATCGACAGAATTTTGAATGAATTTAATCTTGTTTATTTTTTTAGTTCGCAGTATATTTCTTGTACTGGAAGGAGTGAAGAAATTCAGACGTCCAAGCGATTCTCAACGCAATAATCAATCTGATCCGCGAGTCTGATCAACTAAAAGAAACTGGCCGCTAAATGCAAAAAAAAAAACAAAAATGGTGATCGTTAGTTTGGCCAGTACAGCGTTACCATACTAAACAAGTATTGCTTATAGAACGATCCTCAACTCGTAATACAAATGAAGAAATAAATTCGGCTAATAGCGGACTATAATGTAAAAATCGCAAATCAATATATAATTTGATTCGGCAAAATGGTAAAGAAAGAGAAATTTGAATGGTACAGGGCACTTTTGATGATCGACCTACTCTTGTATGCACCTCTTTCAGTGAAGCAAAACTAAACTAAATGTAGGTTTGTTAACGTAACACTAATTACGTTCACTCAAGATCATCATCTCTCAAGGTCATCATCACTATCTGCTATATTATATTCACCGAGAAGTCCTTAACGGATTACCGAGATGAGTTTTAGCGCATGAAGCACGTTTTGACGAGTTACTATAAGATCCTAAATGACACGTGGGTGATAAAAGTATTGTGAAAATATAACGACTGGGAATAGCCTCAAAAAACATTTCTATCTTCTACAACTGAAGGTCGTAAAAAGGCCACATTACTGCGCGTGTATTTTTTCTTGTATTAACTAAGCTTGTCCCGGGGAGGGGGGGNGGGGGGGGGGGCGGGAGCTTGTCATGCCTTTCACTTCTCATTCTCAAGTGTCCTGGGAATGAAATGTGAAGAGCTGTGGGAGAATAGAGAGAAGACGATATGTCTTCGGCTATATTTAAAATCACTCGGTTGGATATTGAGATTTAACAGGAATTTATTTCCCCTGGTTTTTATTATGATTTTATACTGCTTTTGGAACAGTAGTTGTCAATAGTGATGCTCCTGATTATACAACATGTTCATGCTTGTAACACGCACACTTGACTGGACGAGTTAGTCTGGCGGAAAACAAGATACGGCAAAGACATTAGTGTAAACATGATAATTGTGAAATAAAGATAGCGTACTACGAATTTCCTTCTTTCCTGATTCTTCCTTCCTTCCATACCATCCCATCCTATCCTTCCATCCATTATTCTTTCCGTATCCTTTTTGCCTTCCATCTTTCTATCCATCCATCCTTCCTTCTCTCCATTCTTACTTTCATCCTTCCTTGCTTCCTTTCTATCATTTCTTCCCTCCTTTTACAATTGCTTCTTTCCTTCTTTCATCCTTCCTTCCCTCTTCCCATCCTTTCTAAATCCTTTTTTTTTTTTACTACCTCATCAATTGTACGGCGACTTTTTATCGGTGACTGGCACGCATTCAGGCCATGACGGCGGGTAGTAAGTACATTTACCATCCTGCATGCAAGACGATACTATCCATAATCCATATGACGTGCATAGATACCAAGCTGGGACTTGTGTTATAAACTTATACCCTTCGTCACAACTGATGGTACAGCGATAGCCCATAGAGTCACTGTTACAGTTGAGGGAGCCATGATCAGGATGACTATCACATCCTGGACACCTGCAACCAAAACCTGAAAAGATGCACAGTACACGCATCTACGTGAATAGTGATCTCGTCCAATGAGATCTCAAAAGTTTACTTTGAACTCCAATATTCTTTCATTTCCGTTTATTCATTCATCCATTCACTCACCTGACACATTCATCATCCACCCATTCAGAATTCATTCCTTCATCACACATTCATCCACCCATCCATTCGTTGACCTGACACATTCATCATCCATCCATCCATTCGCTCACCTAACACATTCATCATCCAATCATCTACACATCCATAATTCCCCCTCAATACAAAACGTAACTTCCCTAAAATGAACAGGTGTATGATGGTAAACATCGTACTAGAGTATTTGATAATATTTTCACTCAGTACACACAAAGCAATCCTCCAAGTGACGTGTTTGGATAAAAGTTATTTCAATCAATTTTATATCACCTTTAATAAGTCTGTCAAAAGAGAACGGCCAGGTGAGGACTTCGGGATCCCC